GTTTATGGTGGATGGTGCATTTAGTCACATAAGCTTTAACACTGGGTATATGCTGATTCTCAGTTTCCATATAATGACAAAATTACATAGTGTAACTCCCTGCCTTGCCTTCCTCATTATTATCTCTGTAATATATGCAAAATTGTGTGAGGTAAATTACCATATAAATCAGAGGCATATTTGATAAGCAACGTTCACTTACTGTAATTGTCATAAACACGTTGTCGTGTATTGATTAGGTGTTGTGGCTTGGAACTTATCCAAAAGTTCCCTTTTCATACATTTGTCAACTATTATTAATGGGTTTAGAAAATATATATGAATAAGTAATAGTAATTACTTAAAATGCGTGTTTCTAATATTAATGGTAGACATTTATAAAGAAACCAAAACAACAATTCCTGAAATCCAGACTCCTGTCTCATTCATTCATAATACATTGATCTTTAAATCACTTCTCAATCATTACCAATGCATAGTAAGTAGCTGTTTTTCTAAAAACTAGAGGTGTAGCATTGGCTTGATTAATTCTTTTTAATTTCCTAAATTTCTTTTTGTTTATTTTTAATTTCATACAGCATAATCCAGGCATCGGAAGATTACTTTTATTATACTAAATAGATAAAATCTTAACAAAATGTCACCAAAAACGTGACCATGGTTTAATCAAATTTTGCTGCACGGTGATGCTGGATGAGGTTTGAATCCTGCCTCTGCTGTTTTTGTGGGGTTTGCATGCTCTTTCCTAAAAAATACTCTGGTTTACATCAGTGATCCAAAGGCACGCAGCTACTAATGTCTCTAACTTGCCTATAGTGTATGACACCTAGGATGACCAGCTAATCCATGTCAGGCGGGACACTATGAGCTACTTCAGGTTTTACAAACTACTTTATAGGCTCCCGTGCTCAGCGAAATTGTTTGGTTCCTCTTGTGCTTTTTGTTTCCTTGATTGAAAGACTCGTTCAGCTGTTTCACATTAACATTTGTGACACATGTATGATTATCAGAGACTGACCAATCAGCACAGAGCAAGAACTCAGTGTTTATGTGAAATTCGGGTCCTTTTAATAGAAATGGCTGCAGTGCTAGTTTACAAATCCTGTCGTAGCTCATAGTGTCCCTCCTGTCATGGATTAGCTGGTCACCCTATTGACAGTGGCTGTGTGAGCAGGGTAGCCCTGCAATGCCCTGCCATCCCATCTGGCACGTGCCCCCAGCATGAGCCCCATGCCACCTCAGAAAGACTCCGAGCCCCTCAGTAACCCTGAGCAGGAAAGCAGTAGGACGGTGCACAAATAGCACTCGGACTTCCAGTGTATTTCATCTACCACTATTTTTCTATTACGCTACTCAAGAATAGCAGCTTTTTTGATGTAGATATTTTAAAGATAGCAAAAACAAATGTATATAACCCTTGCTGACCATGTGAGGTTCCAGGAATAAAAAGTTTCCTTCATTCTGGTTCCACACAAATTCATTAATAGCTGAATAAGATCAGGAACCTGTTTTCTTCTGGCTCACCTGGCGGAAAAATTGCATTTTTGGGAGACGTGACGAGAAAAATAGATCATTTTCTGTCAGGCTGCACCATTTATTATAATATAATAAATGGCTTCTCCTAATGTACTACTGAAGCCTCTCAAGTGCCTTCGGTCCACATTTGCTGTGTGAATATCTGGTGTATAGGACATGCTGCTTTATTATCCAGGTGACAAAACTCCTATCAGGAACTTTTTCCTACTTGTGTTAGATTACAGCATTAGAGATTCGACAAAAGCCTCATGAAAGGAAGATCTTTCTCTACCTAGAAACGGTAGAAAAGCCATTCCTCGACATTCTGACCTAACGTAAAAAGATACCTGCCTTGAGGCTGCTCTCTTGAAACCAGAAACATTATAATTTTAAAATAAGAAAAATTCAATATTTTCACATTTTTTACAGCAAAGTTTGACTTTACTGAACCTAAAATTCTTTGATGGATTCAAGCACAATTGACACAGCAGGAGCAAACACTGCTAGTGTTTGAATACATCCCACTTACATTTTTGTTGTGCATCCATCTCCCACAAACATGCAAGTGGATGACTTGATCAATCCCATGGCTTTTAATGAGAGCACAGTGTGGGGAAGCATTATTACCAGGATTTCACTGCAAGTAGTTAATATTCAGAAAAGCAGCCATTGATAATTCCCTGCTAAAGTACAGTTCTGTAATTGGTACTTAAACCTTTTAATTTTTTAAACTGGCATTTGAAGTACCTTGCTCCCCTGCTTCCTGCATCACCAACTGCTGCCAAAAAATTTAAATATTTGTCAGTAACTGAATTGTCTCCTACAGTATTTTGGTTTCTGTAAATCTACTATGCTCATATTTTATGATTATATATATATCGGGACGCTACCTACAACATAAAATGCTGCTGTAATAACCAGAAAAAATGTACCCCTCCCCTGCAACTCGGGGCCCTTAGCTACAGCCCAGGTCAGCCTGAGCCTAAGTCCAGCCTTGCTTGAAACTATACAGAAATGGGTTATGAATAAAGTAAAGCTAAATGATCAGTCAGGTTCTCCATTTTTGAAACTGACTATCTTAACCTCTTCTGTTTTATCTTCAAAGTGAATCCATTGTATTACTTTACTTGCCAAGCTCAACTGGATGATCATGCCAGGCAGAGGTGGCACACTGGTGTGTGGCTAGGTAATCTGGGGACCCCAACAGTAGAATTTGCAGGGCAGAGATATATAAATTACCATTTAAATGGTAATTTGTATATCTGCCAGGGTATACATCTCCCTCCGACACCCCTATTATAACATATATTCTTGTGCCTATCTGTATATCTGCCAGGGTATACATCTCCCTCCGACACCCCTATTATAACATATATTCTTGTGCCTCTCACAGGATGTAACAGCTTTAATTATTCTGCTAAAATGAGTATTTCCTAATAAGTGGTTTAAGTTTTTCAAACCAGAGTACATTTAAAGTAAGCATACATTTACATAGCTCATACAAAGGGAGACTGAATTTACCACCCAACCATATTTATGCTTTAAATGAGAACATTGTTCTTTTTTGATCTCGCAACTACACATAATTTAACAGAACTTAAGTTGAAGTTACACATTTGTGTAGACCTGACTTCTGACTTTTTTTTCTAAACTCAGAATTCTGATATTAAAGTCAGAATGCTGAGAAAAAAGCCAGAATTCTGAGATTAAAGTCAGAATTCTGAGAAAAAAGTCAGAATTCAAATAATATTTTCATGGTGGCCCGAATCCTTTTCCGTAGATCTTAATAGGCCTTTATGTTTCGTAAATTGTGCACCGGTTTAATAACAACTATACATGGACCTTAATAAACAAGAGCGAGGTATGACTTATTAAAAGGTTTTGTATTTTATGACGGATTATATCTCTCATTGGCGATAGATATAAGCCTATTAGCAATATAGACTGCTTTCTTAGTTTTGGATAAATTTTGTATCAGATGGACAGATCGAGGACAAGAACCGTGAACGTTCGAATCGGCATCTGACATTATACCATTAAAGTAGTATTACTGTTAACTGTAACAGCAGTTTTTTTCTTTAAATCAAAATCCAGTGGGCCCATCTTCCCTCTGAATGGACTCGTGAACTGTCACGACAACTCATGTTTGAAATCGTTATGAAATCTGCGTGCAATTGGCTTACGGAAAGAAAAGACATTTTAATGCGATTGCGGTTTTGGCGCTAAAGCCTTTCCGAAAATAACGGGAGTAAGCGATACGCTAGTTAATTATGTGATAATATTGTGTACCTACTTTGTAACATACACCGCATTTACCGCAGTAACAGAAATCACAAATAGTCTTTGAACTAGTTATATTTGTACACAGTATACAGGGTTGCCAGATCTCACGCATCTCACGCTTTCAGACTCTCACGCTCACGAAAGAAATCTTACGGCAAATCTATATTATTCTATTATAAACCTAAAATTAGCTACATCAAAAGTGTTGCGGTACTTTGCAAACCATACAGACTATTTACAAGGTGATAAAAGTGTCACATACGTGAAAATACGTGAGTATGTGTGTGCACTAGTGTCTAATTGAAAATCTCACGCCAACCAGCTGACCAAAGTTGGCAACCCTGACAGGCTATATTTGTAACAAAACCATGAACCCCTGTTCTAAGATACAAGATACTTTTCTCTGATTTCTATACCACAGATGACTAACAGTATTCGCTAACCCAGCTTGTTTGTTTGTCTCAGTGAGTACAGATTATTGTACCTCTGATCATAGGTTGCACAAACCTTGCTAGCCTAGTTCGTGTAAAAAAAGTTACAATTAATGAGCTTAACTTGTCAGGAGAAATTCACGTAAATTTTAAATAAATGTTTTTGGAAAAAAAATCGGGATACCCCTTTCTTAAAGGAGATTAATTGTAGTCCGCATTGTTTTAGATATGTTGTGTATTGCTATGTTGACGAGTTTCAGTTGGAATTCCGCTTAACCAGACCTGTTCCGTTTAATTCGACCGACAGTACATGCTTCCTGAGAATAAAATCCACTTTGACAGTTCTTCAGCATGAAGTCGTAGTAATTTGTTTTAGAATGCAATAGAACTACATAACGTTTGAAGAACATTTATAGGGTACAGGTTTTTCATAAACAAAATGTAATGGTGTAGAAAACTAAATGTAACTGATTATTAAGATAATCAGGAACAGCAAGTGTTCGAATTTGTAAATTGTGTGCATTGTCTGCTTTGTATGAATCAAAGAATGTGTCATTAGTCATTTGTGACAAAAATTGTACGTCTAAATCTAGTTAATGGGTGCATTTAAACAATAATTAGTCACACATAACAAAAATATATAGTACAGAAACAGTTTTTATAAGAATAAATGTTTTATAGACACCATATGAATATGCATATGTTAAATGAAATTTCAGCTATTTCACAAATGAACATACATGCAGTTGTACGAATAAGTGGAGCGTTTACCTGCAATAGCCGTTAATGTCAGGTGAACAATCAGTACAGTCGTAGGTACATCCATACAGAGAAGCATCTCAGGTCCGCTGGATCCCATTGTCCGCTTTCGCATCCCTACAGCGCACCCCTCGCTCCCCAAGCTCCAGAGACTGTCGAGGTTCTCCTAAAAGCGGGTGTTCAAGGCACAGGAACAGGATTATCCCCAGGGAAAACCAGAAAAAAAATTAACAAAGGAGGCGTCTCGGAAATGCGGAGACCTGGGACTGGTTTGAAACAGCCCAATGTCAGTAAATGAAAGAGGCGCGAGTCAGCTCCCGCAATGCGATCTAAATTACCAAATGCTTCATCCTCTCTGAACGGCGTGTAGTGCAGCTGGTGCAGAGATCCCGCTCACAATTTGCAGCACTGGCCCAAGGAAAGGGCAGGTAGTTGATCTGAGAGCTCGTTTCTGTGGCTGTCTTCAAGGAAACATCCCATCCCGATTAAACCCGCATACGGACCAGTGGTTTTTCCCCGCACTTTATATGCACCTGTAGTGTACGAACCCCTCACACGGACTCATTCTCTCACCGTTACCGTCTGTGGTGTATTAATTGTTTTGCTACCCAAAAATGCCACTGCCAATGCATAGACAATTTTAGATGTCTATGCATAGTTAAAGTGCATTATGTGAATCGCGGTAATAACGTTTAACCATACACTATAGGCTATAGTCATTTTTTTTTCCATACAGTATTTACAAAAGAGAACCGTCTTCAAAAGTCCCGTCTTTAGAGGTTACTTTTGCAAGAAGACCAAAATTGAATATAGCTGAATCTTTGTACTGTATGTGTCCTCTCTCATTTCATGAATAGGCTATGTTTTCTACATTAAAATATGTATTTTAAAGCATCGAATGAACTACTTGGAGAACTTTATTTCAGAGGTAATTAATTCCGGGCATATAAAATTTAAATACTTCCTCCTATTTTACTCATGTTACTTTATGTAGAAATCCATCATTTATTTGGTTATATTCTTTCCAGTTATGAAAATCAAGAAATCCTCTTTTAGGCGATCCAAATGATGAATCGGGTAATAGACGTAGTGTTATTTAAATAAAAATACCAACATGTATTATGAGCTAACCCTTCAGCCTACGCCAAGAAAATGTAAATACGTGGTGAGGTCTTTTCTTACATGACATCCGTCTAATTGATTTTTATTTAGTTATGTAGGCCTATTTGTTTATTTATATGCATCAATACGGCTCTTCTGCAATAATAATAATAATAATAATAATATAAAACTTCTGCAGGAGTAGAATTCGTGGTCAGAATTAACGAAATTGTTGATGGGAATGTAAGACCATTGTATGTATTTTCTTTTTATCTGGAAAGAGTTTAATTAACACTTGCAAGATAATTTTATTTGCGGAATGACTTCGTACCAAAATGATATTGATAAGGCTGACAATTATCATATAGGCCATGCTAGATTACATATAAACTGTAAAATGCGACTAAACCATGTTGTCCGAGTCTAATATACAGGGACAGCAAGGCGGAAGGGGAGAGCTATAGTTAGGTTAAAAGCCGATGTTCTAACGGGCTGCGCGCTATCTGAAATAATTCATGTTACTCATCGAACATATAGTTGGTTTTCCAAAGGCTAATTTTGCATCAAATCATATAATTTGGCTGCAGGAGCCATTTTGTTTAATAGGGACACTAAGGCCATTCCGGTTTCACGTGCCTACAAAGATTGAATTCGTGTATTCTAAACCAGGTGGCCTCAAAAGCAGCTCGTGATTGTAAGTCAACCTAATACTACAACCTACTACAAAACCTGCACTGGATTCTTTTAAATAATGATTCTGTTGTATAAAAGCACAATGGCTTTAATGGTGATAACTCCAGCATTGTGCTGCTAGGAATTAGCTAACAACTGATAGGCCGAGCTGATTCCGAGCTGCCATGATCTCTGCCACTTAGAGACCTGCCTTAGCCTCTAGCATAAATGCCTAACAACACTCAGAGACACTTTCAATTAATATTAAGTTTAATATAAATCGTGAGATAGCAAAAAAATCTGGAGCAGCCGAGCTGGATACACGGGGAACCACAATATTATGTCACTTAAGCTAACATTTGTTGACCAGGTCCTTGGGGACCCCCAGATGGTCCACATTTTTGCTCCCTCCCAGCTCCCTGCCAGACAGTCCACATTTTTGCTCCCTCCCACCACCC